AACCCCCCCCCCCTTGTTTCCTGGGCAACAAGAGGGGGCATGCAGCCATCTGAACCAACCACTACCCAGGGAAGGTAGTCCTTGCCCCGGCCCCCTACCCCCCATCTGCACCCCATACCAGGAGAAGGAGCAGGGCCGGCCGCCAACAGACACAGCCACGTCACTGCCTGCGTTCAGGTGGCTGCCCTCGATGCCAATCCAGGTGCCCCCGGAAAGAGGCCCTCGGGCAGGGCTCACTCGATAGAAGGTTGGAGTCTAGGGGGAAGAAGGGACTTTCTTGAGGTGCAAGGAAGGCCTGTCCTGGGGCCAGAGGCCTGCTTGCACCCCCAGCCATGCCCCAGGCCCTGTGTTCACGGGCTCCCAGGCACGGCCCAAGGTCAGGGCCCGAAGTATGTAGTGGGGACCTGCAGTTAGGCCCTAGAGACCAGGAGGCTGAGGGGAGACCAGAACAAAGGTGTTGCTGGATGAGGGGGCCCACGGAGGACCGGGAGCTCAATCCAGCCCCTGCACAGCTCCCCTCAGCCACTGGGGGAGGACAGGGGTCCGGGCCGGGAAGGGCTTACCACGAAGGTGAAGCGCTTGGGTGACAAGGCCCGGTAGTGAGGAGAGCAGTCTCGCACGCACACCTCCACTAGGGCGTCGTGAGATCGCACTGTGCTGGCGTCCCCGATCTCGCAGACGATCCTGGGGGGCACCAGGTGACCTTAGCGGGCTGTGGGGTCCAACCCGGGTGTCGGGACGCCCTGCCCACCTGCCCGCTGGGCCCGCCAGGCTGCACTCACTGCTCAGCACTGATGTACTCGCTCTCCACGGGGCTGCACAGCACCTTGCCCACGCGCACGCCCAGCCGCACGTCCTCAAAGCGCAGGCCCAGGTTCTCACCCGTGATGGTGAGCCGTGTGCCTCCTTGCCGCGGGCCCGTCTCGGGGAACAGCTGCGGAGAGGCCGAGGCTGGGACACGGGTGTGGACCACCATGGGCCAGGAAGGGCCCTGCGCGGGAGGCAGCCGGGGGTGGGGGGGTCCGTGTCTCTGCCCAGGGCTGGCAGGCCTGCCTACCTTAAGGATCTTGGGGTCAGCGCAGCGGCTGCTGCCATGGCGGGCATGCATCCAGGCGGCAGGTGCATCGGCGGGGCAGTGGGGGCGCAGGGAGCACCGGCGTTCAGCCACGCACCAACCGCACTCAAAGCGCGGGTCGGCCTTGAGGCAGAGGCCGCAGCTCTCTCGAAGGGCCGGGCACTTGTAGAGGTGGGCTGTGGGGAGGGGCACGGTCAGCTCGGCCCACCCTCAGCCCCACCCTCCGAGACAGCCCGCCCAGCTCACCCTGGATGTTCTGAGGGTTGTCGATGACGAAGTCACCGTTCCACACCACCGACAGGTTCACGGGCAGGTCGCTGACATCATTGCCCTCGTAGGAATACTGCGGGCAGAGGGCAGGCGGTCAGGCCACGTGCACAGCCTAGACTCTGAGGTCGCGGGCCACTGCCCACGGCAGTGAGTCAGGGACTGCATGCCCCTCCTGGCTACCTCTGGGACTGGCCCCTGGGAGCAGGCTTGGCAGGGCAGAGCCTAAGGGCTCTGCCTGTCCAGAATGGCATTTCCAATCTGGACCCAGAAATCCCAGAGAGCCACCCACCCACTAGCCAGCCTAGAGAGCTAAGCTGTCACACGCAGCTCTCCCTCCACCACAGCCCAAATGTACACGCGCGTGCACATACACACGGGGAGTTTTTTTCTTGGTGGCCAGAATCCCCACTCTCCAGCCAAGGCCCTGTCCCCAGCAGCCACATGAGGCACACACTCCAGAGTGACCACCCACTTCCCCCTGCAGTCTGCCCCACCAGGAAAATCAGAACTCCCCAACTGGCCCCCTTGGCTATGCGTCACGGGTTCTCTACGAACCTCTGTTTCTTTGTCTGCTGAGTGGACTCAGTAATCCCTACACCAGGCCTGCCCTGAGGTGTAAGATGTGTGCCCTGAGCTCTGGGCACAGGCCAGCAGGAAGCACCCGCAGGTGAGTCTCTGCCCCCCACCCCATCCCTGGATGGGCTGGGCTCAGGGACAATACCCCTCCCCCGGGAGCCCGGGCCCGGCGCTCCCAGCTGTGTCCCACTTTCTGCAGCTGAGGACCTCCACTCCATCCCAGAGCAATTCATCATTATTTTATCTGCAGGAATTTAATTGGATCCTATCAAATTCCCTGGTACTCCCTTTTCCCTTTCAACACAGTCACCGGAAAGACAAATGTGGGCCGGGGGGTTGGGGGAGGGCAGGATGGAGGGGACAGAGGCTCGGGGACGGCAGAGAAATGGGGCAGGGGAGGCACCAACAGACGGCCGGAGAGCAAGGGGAGGGTTGAAGCAGCCAGGCCACAGGACCTGGAGAGATGCAGGTGTAAGGCGTGACAGAGTGAGGAGAGAGGATGGGAAGCACAGGGCAGGAAGGTGCAGGGACCTCTTGGGCCAGCTGCAGGGCACAGGGCCTGGCCAAGTGGCGACCTGCCCCCAGGAGGCTGCTGGGACCCCCTGCCCACCCCGCTGGACACACGACGTGCTGGTCAAGGAGTCACCACCATTAGCAGGAGGCCACACCTCTGACCGTAGGCCTCTCCCCTGGGATTCTCTCCGATGACACTCTTCCTGAACAGACAGGGAAACTGAGGCCTGCCAGCAGTCACAGAGCCAGCCAGAGGAGAGCTCAAGTGGCCTTCGGACCACCATGCAACACCACCCCCCCCCACCACCCCATCTGCCAGGGAAGGACTTGGCTCTGCAGAGATCACCATCACTAAACTCCCTGGACTTGACTAAAGGCTTTAGAACCGTGACCCTATCAGGTTCTGGACTCCAAACGCGGCTGCTTCCTGGCCCTGAGGCAACACCACCAGCTGATGCGCCAGCCACTGTGAATGCTTTCTGGGGCTGGCCACAGGACACACAAAAGGAGCTGAGCGCTCGGTCACTGTCGCCCTGACGGTGGCCCTCCTGGGAGCACAGGTGAAGGTGGCACGAGGGCGTTCCCACACACCAATCTGGCCTCCTCACCCACGTCAGGAGACCCTACGCAAAGCCACACGTGCACTTCCCACCCTGTTTCTAAGTATCCTCTCCCACATCTGAGACGGGCACCTGCCAGTCGTCCGGGTGGCTCTCGGCACATCTCCATCTGCGGCCCTCTCACCCACGCACCCGGGGGGCACCCGAGGCCGTGGCCCCAGCCTGCCGAGCCTGGAGTGCCTTCTGAGCCATCCCGGCCACCCTTGACTATGCACCGCCTTCGCACTAAGGGCAGAAACCGGATCCTGAGGCTGTGACGGGCGCGGTCCGGCACACGGGGCTCCAGGAGCCACCCCGCCTCACCGAGGAGTTCTGGCACTGCAGGCTGGAGCTGTTGAAGCGCAGGGCAGTGACGCGGGCCGGGCTCCCCGGGATGTGGAAGAGGCACTCGTACCCACGCTGGCCCGACTGCGGCTGCGGAAGGTTGCGCGCGGCCAGGGTGATGGGCTTCACCACGCCCACCGGCACGTAGATCTGGGTGGAGGGCAGGATCTGCGGGCAGTCCTGGGGACGACAAGGCTTCGGCTGAAAGGCTGGGTGTGAGCGCGGTGCCCCCTACTACGGCCCAGACCCCTGTCTGTGCACAGAGCCTGCGTGCAGGCACCCCTGGGCCCATTTTACACACTGGCGGACTGAAACCTCAGGAACTGCCAGCAGAGCTGGAGGCAGGGGGCCTGAGTTCTGCACCCGCCAGACTATGGCCACATACTATAGGCCCTCTCACCTGCGGGCCCAAGTGCCCTGCCCAGCACGCTAGGACCCCACTGTTCAGCACCGAGGGAGCCCCATCTGGCCCACAGCTGAAAAGGCCCTTGAGGCAGAAGCAGCTGAGCATGGGGCGTTGGGGCTTGAGCTCACAGCTGGGGGCCCAGGGAGCATGTAAAAATAGCCAGAGCTGGGCAGAAAAACAGCCCGGGGCCCCCAGGGCCAGCATTTGGGCAACAAACTGATGCAATGGCCCAGCTTCCTTGCAGCACTGCCGGCAGGAGCCGCGGGAAGGGAAGGCCCCGCGGGAGCTATGCTGAGCTGGGCTTTAAATAGAGATGCTGAAAACAGGCCATAATCCCCAAGCCCTGCAACAGCTCCCACGGCAGGCACAGGCCCAGGACTGGCTCTGCAGAGGTTCTGGGGGCCTGATGAGGGGCCCGGACTCTGGCAGGGACAGACCGGCAGGATGGCCACTAACTGCCGGGTCTGCAGGGATGCCCTCCCTCCCCTCCTCCACCCTGGGGAGAGGCAGGTGATGGGGACATGTACGCAGAGCTACCGTCCACGCATTCAGGAGCCCATACCTACACCAGCACTTCCCTGGCCATTTGACGGGGTGCCCAGGCCAGCCCCCAGGCCCAGGGACCCTCCTGCTGCCTCTCCAGCCCCCGGCTGCCCCTCCTGGACCCCCAGCAGCCCTGGCTCCTTCTGGCCACCAGGACTTGGCTCCCGTCACCCCCCAAGCTCACACGTCCCTCTGTAGACACTATCTCTGCTGCCCAGGAGGCCCTGGTCTGTCCCGGGCTGTAGGCTCTGTGCCCACATCAGACTGGAGTCTGACTGAGGCTGTTCCCTGGCACCATGTTCCTGAGGGGCCACCTCCCAGCAGATCCAAACCAGAAGCAGAGATAGGAAGAGGGGAACCTGAGGGGGAGGAGCCTGCTCCTTCCAAGGACTGGTCAAGTTTGGGCCTGTGTCATTCTCCTTAGAAAAGTCCCCATAAAACCCGGAACTACGGCTGAAGACGATGTATCATTAGGATGAGTCCCTTCCCACGGCAACCTCCCTGGACCCCATGACCACCCTCAGCCCAGTCCTGAACCCTTCTCAGAAGGGTCTGCACGTGCTGTTCCACCCAGGCCCACGACAGCCCTCCCTGAGGTCCCTAGACCCTGGGGTCACTAACCAGCTTCCTGCTGCCCCACAGCCCCTGCCTGCCCTCAGGATACCTGTGCCCAGCTCCTCATGTGGGCCACACTCCGAGGGAAGCCCACTGCCCATCCCCACACCCTGGCTCTCACACCAGCCGCTCACCCAGATACTGCTCCCGCCAAATGCCCGAGGTCCCTGCCTGTTTCTGGCTTGCCCCTGACTGCCACCTTGTCCCATGATGGGCAATGTCACAGCAGGGAGGGGACAGGGGCCTGGGGAGTGATGGTGGAGGCTGGTCGGGGGAGGCTCTGTGAGGGGTGGCCTGAGGCACACTGCACCTCTTCTGCCCCCACACCCCACACCCTCCTGCCCCGTCCAACCACGGGCACGGTGTCCACTGTGAACAAGGACCCTGGCCTCCAGTTCCGGCTCTGTACCCTCTGACAGGATCCCAGGTCGGCCGGTCCTGGTTCTGAGTGCCTCGGGTTCCAGGAAAAGTAGCCTGGCTGTTCATAAATAAAGTCAGCACCCTGCCCAGGCTCCAAAATAATTACTACCTAATTACTATCAATTACTACGTGGTACCTCAAATGACTCCGAGAACCAACCGCCCACCCTGCAAGTCAGTCTGATGGGTTCCCTCATCCACACGGATTCTGGGCGCCGGGCCTTTCCCGCCTGCCCACACACCTCACCGTATCGGGTGGACAGTCCCCCTCTCCCTGCATCGTCCCTCGGGCATCCCTTTGGTCTATCGCCCCCACACAGAAGCCCAGGTGGGAGGCCTTCCCTGAGGACCACGAAGCACATCAAGAGGCCGCCAACAAACACTACTGGTTGGCCTCAGGTCAAGGTGGCCTTGGACAAGGTCCCAAATAGCGCAGGCCTCTGTCGCAGTGTCCCGGCCGCCCGTGGGAGCTCTCCCACTGCCAGCTGCAGGCGACACCCAGCTCGACCACGCCTCTCAAACCCTGAGCTCCTCAGGCTGGCCTCACCTCAGACACGTTGACACGGCCCTCCAGAAAGGCGCAGTCGGCAGCGTTGTGTGTGCACACGTGGCGGTATTTGCACCAGTGGCAGGGGAAGGAGCCGTTGACACAAGACAGGCAACTGTGGGGAGAGGACAGGCGTGCTGAAACCGGGGCGACCTGTGGCTCCACCCAGGGGCTGCACGGGGCCGCATCACCTGCCTGCTACTTCTTCAGCAGTTCACAGTGCCACCTCAGGACCTTTGCACTGACTGCTCCTCCATCCCGTGCTTTCCTCTCTTTGCACTGCTTTTTCTCCGGACCCTGAACACCTGACAGTCCACCCCAGTGTCTGCTGACACAACCTTCCTGGTTACGGATGTGATGAAAGCCTGCGCTGTGCACCGAGGTGACCACTGGCCACACCAAGTCACACGTGACAACAAGCACTGGGAAAATGTGCTGGTGCACGTACAGAACTGTCTTTTAAATTCCAATCTCATCTTAATTAACTTAGGTTTAAATTTAGGAGGGAAGCCGTCGCTGCAGGGCCCAGCAGAGCCGTGGCGGACATCCGTCTCCCTGACCAGAAGGCAAGCTCCGCCTGGCAGGCGCTTGTCCGGTTCTCTCCCACACGTCCCCAGGGCCTAGACACGTCCCTGCGGAGCTCTGGCCTGCGCAACCTCCTGTGGCTGGAGCCCTGTCATCTCTGCAGCCCCCATGGACCCACTTACACTGGAGAAAACTACCTCTAGCTTCTCCCAGGGACCTCCCAACCCACCGGCCACCCTGCTTCTCCCAAGACCCTCAATCCCCTCCAGCTCCAGAGTCCTGCCCGCTGCTCCAAACATCCCAGCCCACCCTGGATAGAGAGATCATAACCTAGTAATATCAACACCCAGGCCCTCAGTGGGCCCCCACGAAGAGGCAGGCAGTCTGCCGGTCAGCCAACAAAGGCACAACTGAAACTCAGGTGCCTCTGGCTCTGTGGCTGACCCATACACCTGGGTGGGCCCCCCGACCCCACTCCTCACACCTCAGCAGCTTGCAAGAGGCCGGCGAGACTTGCCTTGTTTGAATCAGTGCACCTCACTCCCCTCCCCTGCCCCGCTCTCACAGCCCCGGCCTGAGCCTCCTCCCCATCTGCCGCCTGGAGGCCGTGCCCTCGCCGGCCCCCCTGCCAGGTGAGAGGCTCTTACGAGGGCCTCTACTCCCGCCCTGACCACTGGGCCACACAGAGCCACGCCCTGCCCTGCCCTGCCGGGGTGGTCAGTGCAGAAGTGCCAGGACACTCACGACTGGTGGACGCTGCAGTTGTAGAAGACGAAGTCCACGGACGCAAACTTCTTGCCTGTCTCCTTAGACTTCAGGTAAAGCTTGACCACCCGCTGGTCTCCTGCAGAAGCAGCACGGGCCTGAGTCATCGGGGCCACCCAGGGCCGCCGGCCCCAGGACCCTCTCCCAGGGCCAGCCTGGAACAGGGACAGGCCTTGCCAGGGACCCTCCCCCCTCACCACCTGCACGGCCCCTGGCTGCACCCCTGCCCCTCAGGCCCTGGGACCCAGGGAGCCTCCGAGCCCATGGACAGGCAGCTGCGGCCCCATCTCCCAGAGCAGGCACCTGCTCCTTCCCCTGCCAGCCTACAGTGACCACGCAACACCCATTCACAGACCCCACCAGGACAGCTCCAGGTGCCACTCTGACCCCCGCCCACGGTGGCACTCACCCTGGCCTCGTGTGATGGGCGCCACCTCCCGAGCAGAGGGCGAGCGGCAGTGGATGCGGCCGTCCTCCAGGATGCTCTCGGACTCGGTGAAGTCCTCAAAGGAGCAGTTGACGCCAGCCGAGAGGTCGGGCACGTTCCAGGCCTGCAGCACAAGCTGGGCCCCACAGGAGGCTTCGGTGAGCAAGGAGCTCTCGCCCCCCCCCGCCCCCCACTGGTCACCCCGACCCCACACCAGGGCAGCCGCGCTCACCGGAACCTGAGACATGGTGACAGAGACGTTTCGAGGCTGCACCGTCAGCTGCACGCACTGCAGCAGGTCGGAGGCGAAGCGCTGGGGCTCGTCCGCCCGCTCACAGGCGTCCTGCCGTGAGCAGCTGCGGGCAGAGGGTGCTGGGGCTGGGCGTGGGGGAGGCGGCCAGAGGGGCACCCCGACCCTCCGGGCCCTGCTCAGCAGGGCTGTCATCACCCGCGCTAAGGGAAGCCCACCACCTGTACCCCGCACCCTGTCTTTCGTGGGCGGCGCTGGGCGTGCCATCACTCAGCCAGTCAGGCAACTGCCAAACGCCCTGCCCAGGAGAGACCCCGGAGGTGCTCAAAAGGGAGCCGTGACTGCCTGAGGCGCCCGGGACGGCCACGTGGGGCTCTCCCAGGTCAGAGGCTGCCAGGCAGGGGTGTCCGGGCCCTCGAGACTCACATGCTGTGCAGGACACACCAGCCGCAGTGGGGGTCCCGCGACCCCAGGCACAGCTCGCACGATGCATACTGCACACAGCTCTCCACGGGCACACGAGTCACCTGGCAACACGGGAAGCTTGGCGTCAGGCCCCCGCGAGGCTCGTCCCCACAACCCCTGCCAGCCTCACCTCCTCACCGCAGTCGCGTGTGTGTGTCCTGTTCCCACACACGAGCGGGGCCCCCGTTTCAGGCCGCTTTCTAGCATGGTCTATTCAAAGGCTAGTCCTGGGTGACCCTGACTTGGCCAAATCAGGCTAAACAGGCCAGGGCCCTCTGCTAGGAGGCAGCAGTCAAGGAGCAAGCAAGTCAGTGCAGGTGAGACATCCCGGGAGGAATTGACCACTCCAGCCAGAGTCACTCTCCCATCTGTCCGGATTCTGAGTTCCTCAAGGGAGCCTGGGCTCATCAACTCCAGTCCTAAGCACAGAGGCAGGCTGGGCCCCTCTTACCCCGACCTCGCCAGCTTGGATGGCACTGAGGTCCTCAGAGAAGTGGAATAACATGACAGCTGGGAGAGGGGCATGCGGTCACCAGGCTGAGAAGGTCAGAGGCTGGCTCCAAGCGCTAGGCTGGGAACACAAATGTACGGCCTCGATAAGGTGGGCGAGGCCAGGTGCCAACTCCATGGAGATGGGCAGATGAGGCCGGTGCTGTGCGGGCCCGCAGCCCGAGAATTCGGGGCCCCAGATGTATGCTCCCAGTCCTCAAATGACACCAATACTCCCACAAAGCTCTTATTCAAGTATCTGTTCCTGTGGATATGCAACTGTTCAGGGAGAAATTGAGAATTCCAAGTCTGACCGGGGAAAATCTGGAGCCAGGGTGGACAGAGTAGACCAATGATGGGGGCAGACCCACCCCCCAACGTGTCCTGCAGTGGGTCACCCACCTGCTTTTCAGTCATCGCATAGAGGTACTGGCGGTCGGGGCTGAGGACCAGGTCACGCAGGATAGGGCTGCTCTCTTGGGCCACCACACTCTCATAGGCCAGGGCTGGCCGGCCGCCAGGGTTTCCCAGGTCTACCAGGATCTGTGGCAGTGAGGGATTAAGTGGGGCTAGGCCAGCAATGGCCAACGCTGGCCCAGCCCCACACCTACTTAAGGTCAGGGGTCTGGAGCCCCTCCCCCAGCTGCCCCCCAAGCCCCGCAAGGATAAGGCTAAGGCTTCCAACCACACCACGGCCATGGGGGACAAACTTCAGCCCCGTAGGCAAGTCCTGACCTAGCCCCTTCATCCACAAGAACAACCACAACCCACCACCCGTCACCGGCTATACAGCCAAGCCCTGCACAAAAGTGGCAGGGGTCCCACTTTCCTTGGGGCCAGGCTGGGTGCCCCAGAGGAAGGCATATTTGTGCAGGGGGTAGAAAGGCACGAAGAGGCAGCAGGGGCCTTCAGGGACAGTGAGGTGTCCAGTGTGGCTGAGAAGTGACACCAGGAGGCTCCAGGGCAGGGAGGTGGCATGGGAGTGGGGGGCCCCGGTGAGGTCCTGGAGTGGGGTGCACCCCAGCAAGAAGGCAGGAGGGCAGGCGTCTCATCGGCATGGAAATATATTCCAGATCTCAAACAAACCGGGCGCTAATTAGCCAGCTCTTCTCTGCAGCTTACGATGCTGCAAGTATTTTTAGTTGCTTTTACCAAACAAATGTATTTAATTAACAGAGAGACCCAGGGGGCTTTCCAGAGACGGGACTCATGGGGCGGCGTCTGCCCAGCTCCGCCAGTCCCGGGCAGGCTCCCAGGGCACAAGGTGGCCAGCCCTGCTCAGGCCCGCCCCTCTCTGGCTGTGACCCAGCAGCCAGCCCACCTCTCCACCTCCGCCTCGCCCCAGGCTCAGCCCAGCACCCCTCCTCTGCACCCCCACACTGACAGGACAGGGCAGGTCTCCTTGGTGGGGGTGGCCCGTGGAGCTGGCGAACACCCCTGCGCTCTGCGCTGGCCGAGGGCGGCCAGCCAGGGTGGGGCGCTGTGACTCTGGGCCAGAGGCTGCCGGCTGAGGGAGAGGGGGAGGGCCGCATTCCTGAGAGCCCGAGGCCACCCCCCACATCCGCTCAGCTGCCTCCCAGCCAGGCAGGCAGGCTTAAGTCAAACCAGACCCGGAAGAGCTGAGCCCTGAGCTGGGCAGGGGGAGGCGGCCACAGGCCCGGCCTGGAGCTGCCCAAGTGGCTTCGGCCCACAGCCTCCAGGAAGAAGGGGTGCTGGGTGAGGGGCCGTGGCAGCCCAGCCTCAGCGCCCCTGCGGGTAAGCGTGGACGGGACCCCAACCTGGACCCAGTCGGCCCCACGAACCTTCTGCCCTTGGGGGTGGGCAGTTGCTGCTGGCGGGGAGTCTGCAGCCACAGGAGAGCTCAGGGAGGACAGCAGTGCCACCTCTGGACACCCACACTGCCTGGACCCAAGGCCCAGCACAGACACCCAGCTGTGCAAGCGACATGGCATGCTGACCCGCTCTCTGCCTATTCCCCTACTTGTGAGATGGTGACGACAGGCACCACTCCCCCTGCCAGAGCTGCTCTGAGAATCAAATAAGGACCAAGCCACTGTGCCAAGAAGAGGGGACAGAAGGCGGTTGGACCTCAAGGCAATCACCAAACCCCAGCAGCCACAACCCAGGCCTGGCAAGGCCAGCCTGGACAGTGGCCAGGAAGCAGGGGACAAGGAGGTCAGGAGGGCAGGGCCTGTGTGCAGGCCGGTGCACCCGTGGGACCCAGATCTCCAGCCCTAGTCTCAGCCCAACTGATCAAATCAGGACTCTGGATTTCTCCCAGAGCCCTGCCTTACACCTGTGCCCCCTCCCTGCAGGTGCCCCCTGCAGCCACCCAGAAGCCCAGGCCAGACCCCAGCCCTCCCAGCACCAGGCCCCCTCCCCCAGTGCCCCAAGCCTGGCCCCCCCCACAACCAGATACGGGGGACGGCTACCCAGGAGGCCTTGACAGCCTGGCCTGACCAGACCTCAGCCCCTTGCATGCAGGGGGCGCTCAAGAAGTGTCTGAACAGGGAAACTGGAGGGGCCCTGCCTCACCGAGACACACGGACCACCAGCGTCCATATGGTGCTGACTCTGACCAACCCCCTCTACCAGGCCTGCCGTCTCCCTCCCTACTGAGGGCTGAGGGCATGGGCTGGGGCGTGGACGTCCTATCCAGGGGCACTCACAACCCAGCAGGGACAAGGGAAACATTACAGGGAAGGGCACAACCAGGGAGCACACCAGCAGGGGCCATGAAAAGGGGCAGGCAGAGAGCAGGATCCTAGGGGATGTAAGAGAGGAGGCAGGCCAGAGCCAGACTCTGAAACGCCCCGCCCCTGGGCCGGCAGCACGCCGACTCCAACAGGTGGCACCCAACAGCTGCAGTGGGGAGCGTGCATGTCCAGCTGTCCATCCGCCACGCATCCATCTGTCCACCCATCTGCCCAGCACGGGGCAGCCCCGGCCCTCAAACACGCAGAGGCAGGCCCCAAGGAGCCGGGACATTTCTGGAGAAAGCAGAGTAAGTGGGGGTGCCAGGGAGGCACAGCTGGCAGGCCCGTGGGTGGATGTGACGTGGGTGACAGGCTCCACACTGTATACTGAGTGGCCACCGTCCAGGCTCAGCAGGGCCCCTGCATGCACACGTGTGACTGTCGGATGGGCAGGAGGTGTCCAACCCAGCAAAGACCAGTGCTCGGGACATGCCTGCTGTGTCACAGCTGGTTTTCAGGCTGCAGGGCCCGTGCAGCACAGACAGGTGAACCGAGACTTGCGAGGCCTGGACTGCCACTTGCACCTGGGGACATAGAGTCTGCTCCAAAAGCAGGAGGAGGGATGCAGTATGCCGCCAGGAAGGCATTCCAGGGACAAGGGGCGTGCAGGGCAGGCACAGGGCCAGGCGGCTGGCAGGACAGCAGGACATATGCCACGCCGCCGGGAGCGCACGTGCCAATACCACTCCCCTGCGCACAGCTGTCCAGTCGAGGGCCACCCACCTGGGGATGGCCCACCCTGGGGCAGCCGGCCCGCAGCACACACAGGAGAGACTTTCGGCATCCCCTGGGATCTTCCCTCCCACCTCCAGCTGTCACCTCTGTGCTCTGCAAACCCTTCCCCAAGACTACCAGAACCTTCCACAACTAGCCACGACCACCTTCCCTCCCATGTCCCACCACAGAAGAACCTCAGGGTCCAAACTCGGCTCTGTCCCTCTGCCATTGGTGCCCTTCCCCATACCTGTTGAGAAAGGACGCCTCCTCCTCCTGCCTAGATGGCTGGAGAGGAGGTGGCCAGCCTCCCAGGGCATGCCTGCTGGGCTACACCACGCCCAGGCACCCACCTGCCCCTGGCTCTGACCCAGAGGGACAGAGCCACCCCCGTCCAGCCTCTGGCCCAGCCCTCTGGCTCACCCACTTCTCCAACCTGGGTTTTTTCCCCTGTACCTCTGTACGTGGGGGAGTCCCCTACATTCTGAGCTGAGGCACAAGGGCTGTCAATGCCCCCAGACAGGGGCCTGGCCCCAGCAACCTCTTGGTGCCAGGACCAAAAAACACTGGGCCACACACGCACCACCACCACCACGAGGCATCAACCGCCTGTTCCCACAGACAAGCCAGCATGCAATTTCACCTTCACCCCAGGCCAACAGGTCCTGGGACCCAGGACACACGGTAGGGGGTGAGGAGGGGGTCCTGCAAAGAGAGCCCTGTGCAGGGCCAAGGGGAGGTAGCCAGTGGCAGGTGGGCAGCCCCTGGCCCTGGGGCCTAAACCCCAGGCCGGCCCAGCCGGCTGCCCCCGCACCCATCACCGCGTGGCTCTCGCCAACTGCTGCGGCCTGGCCAGGTCAGCTGTCCGTCCAGCCCAGATCCAACAAAGAGCCCATTCTCTGTGCTGAGGGTGGGTGGGGGCACTGGGAGGATGTCTGGGCCACGCAGGCCGCTTGCCAAGGCCGGCACGCGCCCTAGCCGCCCGGAGGCAGGGGGCTGCCCAGCTTGGCCCCGACCAGGGAAAGGAAAGAGTTCCCTGCTCTGCCCATCCCGAGATAATGGCCCTCGTGTCCCTATCTGTGGAATAGCGGTGCGCTGACTAAACCAGAGAGCAGGTGAACAGGACCCCAGGTGATGGGACAGGCAAAAGATGGGAGGACAGCAGCCAGTGAACCGGCTACAGGGCTGGGACCCCATGGGTGTCTTCCTCCTCTAGTACGTACAGCTGCCCAGCCTATTCCCAGCCCCCTGGGCAGCAGAGTGGTCCTGGGAGGGGCTGCCCTCTCTCCTTGAAGGAGCCCATCTTCCTTCTCCCGGTCAGGGCCGTGTGGCCGTGTGGGTGAACCCAGCTCCTGGGCCCCTCTCATCCCCTCACCAGCTGCCACAGGATTCCCCCCACCACCCCCACTCCCTCCAGCTGGGGGCAGGTTCCAGGCCCCTTCCTGGGACCATTCTCACAAAGGCCAGGAGGAATTTGATATTGGAAAAGCAATTAACAATTTCCTCTTGGCAGTACTTGGGTAATTAAAACATGATTTGCAGGAGGCCCAATGGCTCTAATTGGGCCAAACACACCTGGCGAGATTGGGAGGGAGAGTCCCAAGAATCTTGTCTTTTTTAACCCTAGCCCTCAACACAGAGGAAAGCGGACACCAACCCACATAAACAGTGGTCCTCTTTGACCCTTGGTCTCCTCATCTGCCAGCAGAAATCCACCTCACAGGGCTGTGTTAGAGTTCAGAAGCTCATGGTTCCAACAGTAGGGGAGGAAAGACTGCTTGGAAAGCTGCCTGGAAACTGGGCCCCCAAGGCTAGATGCTGCCATGAGGTCGAGGTGCACAACCACCCTGGGGAATCTGCCCCACGGCCATGGAGGCCACACAAAGCTGGGCCACAAGGCAACACAGATCACACGGCCTGAGCTTTGGCCCTACTGTTCTCTCCTTCCAGAATGCCCTTCCTGGAAGACCCCTCAGTGGGGCTGTTCTAGTCTCTGTACCCACCTTGCTGCAATGCCACAGGTTCCCACGCCCTGACCCCTTAGAGGACAGGTCGTGGAAGTCAGGGACCTAT